TTCACAGCGAACGAATCCAAACACCCTAGGAACTGAAGGCCCTGAGGACGAGAGTGAAGTAAGGCGGAAGGAAGGAAGAGAAATCCGCCTTCCAAAACAAAGCTGGTGTAGGTTCCAAGAAACAGCCAAGTAAAATAATCCTTCCAGAAAAGGGTAGAGAAACAAGGGAGGGGAGCCGGAAGGAAGGAGGGGATAATCACACGTTCCCTCCCAAACTGTAGATAGAAGGAATACATACTGGCCAGGTCCTCACGGGAGAGCTCTTGGGCTCACCTGAGTTTGTTTTATTAACCAAGCTCCTCCCAACCTCTCCTCCTCTCCCCCCTCCCGCCTCTCTCTCCAGCTCTCCTTCCCCCCCTCCCCCTTCACTCCCGACCCTCTCCTACAAATTAAAAGCTACAGTAAAATGAATTTCCACAGCAAAACAGCTGCAGACACTTTACCTCACCCCTGGGTGACGAGCTGGTCACTTGATGTTCGGGGCGGGGGACAGAATACAGCCAGTACAAAGCAGCTCTGCTCTGTGCCCTTTTCAACTCACTAGTACCGGACACTCCTAAGTTTCCTGATGCCTCTGAGCTCATTCGACAAAGAACAATGAAACCAGGACTCCATTAAACTGCTGCTGGTTAAACTGGCAGAAAACAAAAGAAATCCGTCAGCAGGGCATGGGCCTCGCTCACATCCCTAGTGGGGTCTCACTCGACTCAACCACCCTCCTTGTGTACATTTTCCTTTCAATTCCAGAAAATTCATTTATATGTAGCCTGTGATGAAACAAATGATAATTAAGTTCTGAAACAATGAACAGCTCTAAAAGTCCAGGAACTTGTAATGCTCTTCTCTTAAACTTTCAGAAGATCTGAAGATACAATCTATTCTTCCTTTCTCCCAATATAAATCACACCATTAAATTAAAAGGGAAGAATTCTTCTACCAAATTACACCTTAATGGCTCTTAACCCATAATTAAAGTATCACTAACAGCAGCTTAAAGCCACGGCCAACCAGGAGTACATTTATTAGGACCTAAGTTTTCAGCACTAAGTAATTATGTAAATAGAACTATCAGCCATCTTGAGAAAAGTCCATGGTCGAACCAGCTCCCTGGTCCCTTGAGGAAACTCTCTGTGACTGGCATCTACACAGGGCCTCCTCCCCTGCAGTCAGAGCAAAGTTAGCAAAGCTACGTGCCAAAGGAGCGAGGAAAGCGAATTCCGAGGACTCTCCTCGCCTAGAGCCCTGATTACCGTCTTCCCTGATTATCACAAGAGTTTGGGAACCTAGACCAACAACTGGTTTCAGAGCAAAGAAGAATCCACGTCAGACTCAGCTGTGCATCGTGATCCAAGATGCTGTCCCTGTGCTGCGGGCTGTGAAGGTCCCTGGGACAGAGCATGGCCCCTAACATCAAGGAGGTGATGATTAATTAAGGAGGCAAGACATCAAATAATTTTGGAGAGGTGGTGCGGTATAGAAGAATCACAGACTAACTGAAACCACTTTGCTCCTCAATTCAGTTCTGTCACAAACTTTCTGAATAAACTCGGACAGACAAGTTACCTCTCTAGGTCTCAGTTTTCTTGGCAAAAACAAGGCAAATGTATTAGCTATATCTAAGGCCCTGGATAGCTCTGCAATAATTAGATAATTAGAGAACATGAGACAGTATAAAATTAAGTGCTAAATTATACAGCAGCGACCACAGCTGCCGACAGAGAGATTTCATTGATTTCTGAGTCCACCACTTCCTGAGAGCCACACCAGGCACTGTGCCAGGACTCAGGGATACAGTGACCAAGACAAAGCCCCGCCTTCATGAGGCTTTCGGTCTATTAGTGGCGCATTCTCAGGAGTTCAGAGGGGAAAAAAATGAAGGCTCCTTTTCAAGGAGATAGAGGCGAAACTGGGATTCAAGCGGGTATAATTTGAACATACAGTAGGAAGGGTGGTGACTGATGAACTGGCTAGCTGTTGAGAATCTCAGTAATAAACCAGAGACTTTTGAAAAGACACATTAAGACCCAAGCAGAGTTCTGCTAACTGGCTTATCACCAATGAAGGTAGTTAGTTTCCATAAGTTAGCCAAACGCAGATTCTTCCTGCCCTTTGCCAATCATCTTCTCCTATCCCAACAGGTCCCCAGCCCATATCTATTTGTGGTTCATTTTTTTTCCTTAATTCTCCTTTCAATTATGTTTGTGGATTTCTATGGTGAAAGTCAGGAGAAGACACCCAGCAGAGAGTCCATATCTAAGCCATCTGGAGTCTACCCTAAATGTGGGGTTTTAGGAAGACCTTGCAGGCTATGAGAGAATTGGCTAAAAAAGACCTATTTGTGTATAAGTTCCTAGAGAGGCTGAGGAAAGATGGTGCAGACACATGGTTTATTTTGTGGAGTAGAGCTCTAATACAAATAAGGAAAACAGTACAACTAACCTAGAGAATAATTAACCATCAACATCTTACCTTCTTAAGACTAAAAATTCAGAAAACTATTTTGTCCCTTATTTTTAAGAGACGTGAAACATGCCTGGGCCCTAAGTGAAATCAAACACTGCCCACCAACTGTACATTCCGTTTTGCAAATAACTTCCCTGGAATGCTGGTGAGCTGATAGATTTAATACGAATACTCTCAAAGTGCTGGACTTAAAAGGAACAATAACTATTCCAACTTTTCTTACCCCCCCCCCAAAAATCCCATCTAAGATTTATGCCCATCTTCTAAACACCCTTTTGAGTTCAGAGCAGATGTGTGCAATGTTTACACTGAGAAAACCACTAGGACATAAACAGCCCACTATAAACACCACTCAGATTTTGCTGTGCTTTTCTTCATTTCCTGTGTATTTATTTTGGTGTTAAAATAATGTTAACTTTCATAATAAGGAAAATAGCAGCAGATGTTTAAACCAAACAGACTACAGCACATCATCCCACACATCTACTCAACTTTCAGAATCAAAGTTTCTTCCTCCCAATTAAGGAGGAAGCCTAGAAGACCACTCTCGTGTATGGTACCTACTAAACAACAGATCAACCTGGACAAGCTTTCCGTAAGCTTTTCCTCACCACCTGCAGACACAAAAAATTAACGTGGTATCAATTTCCTAATAATCCCTATATTCCTCTCTCAGGCTGATTATTATGCTTTGTTTTATTCTGAAAATATCTTATTACTCAATGACAAAGACAATCCAACAGAAAGTGCCTTAGAAGTTTTCAGTTTCTTGTTCACTGAAAAAAAATTCTTTTAAACTAACTGCAATGTTAATTTCACAGGAAACACGCCTGGTGACCTGTTGCTTAGACCACTCTAAAACGGACTTGAGGACACAGGGGGGGGCGGGAAGGGGAAGCTGGGACGAAGTGAGAGAGTAGCATTGACATACATACACTACCAAATGTAAAATAGATAGCTAGTGGGAAACAGCTGCACAGCACAGGGAGATCAGCTCAGTGCTTTATGACACTTAGGGAATAGGGAGGGTGGAGGGAGGCTCCAGAGGCAGGGGATACAGGAGTATATGGATACGTATAGCTGATTCACTTTGTTGTACAGCAGAAACTAACACAACATTGCAAAGCAATTATACTCCAATAAAGATGTAAAAAAAAAAAAGTCTGCCTTTTAAATGAGTGACTTTAGAAACAGGATGATACCTTAAGCAGCAGATTCAAAGAAAGCAATTCACCAAAATTCGCATTCCTGGAACAAGTAGGATTAAAAAAAAAAAAAAAAAAAGACTACTTTAAATATGAGATTCTCATCCACAAAGTTAAATAAAACCAAGAATGAGATTTTTTCCTTGAAGGGGAAAGGGTAAGTTTTTGACTGCTTGGGCAACAGGGCTAAAGTTTCTACACGAAAAATACAAGTGGATCGGCTCACCCTCCCAAGTTTCTTCCATGTTTTCTCTTTCTAGAGCAACGTTCAGTTCACTATAGGCAGAGACATGGAAACTTCTCCTGCTGAATCAGAAGGGAGAAGTCTCCTTGATTTGTATGTGGTTAAACGAAAAACACTTCCCCTGCCAAGCTGAATTCCCCCGGAGATGTGTCTCCGGCTACTCAGACTCAGACCATTACCACTTTTTCAAATCGCACGTAGATAATGTTGGATTAAGAAATTCCCTTTTCTCTTCTTACTACTAATAGAGACAGCTTGAAATACTACAGGGCAGTGGGGAAATACCTCATGGTTTAGTAGGAGGTAATAAGTGATAAGATTTCCGAGTTGTTTTTTTGTTTTTGTTTTTTAATTTAGCTTTCTGGTTGGTGGGTTGTGCAATCACTTCCACAAGGGACAGGAGTGTGGAGGGAACATCCTTCAATGTCAGAACTCTCCCAGAGCTGTACAGGAAACGGGAAATCAGACAAAGGGCCAGTCTGTGCTCTGTGACATGGGTGCCCTTCCAGGCCCCCAAACTGAATAGAAAAATTCTTCATTGTTTGGGACAATCGCTCTTGAACACAAAAACGCACTGTAACTTTCTGTTCCCCTCTACGTGAAAATCCAAAGTTCTTGCTGGCTGTTGGACTACAACAGGAATACTGTATGTAGATAGTGTAAGTATGAAAGCAAAAAAAAAAAAAAAGAGAGAGAGAGAGAGAAAACCTGGCATGTTTAACTTTTTACTTGGGTCCAGAAGTTCCTCCTCTAAAGAAAACACCAACAGAAATCAAAAAAGAAATAACAATTAAAGAGTTTAAAATGTGAGGAGTTAGTATGTTGCAAGCATAAAGCAAACTTTTAACAATGTATATGTCCCCACCTCCCCGCCCCTGCCCCGCCCCCACCTCCACTGTAACCCCTGAAGGCTAAGATACAAACAACAAACTTTGTCCTGAAAACAGTACCTAAGAACCGCTTGCCTTTCAAAGCACCCTAAAGTCTCAAGAAAGAGAACAAAATGCACAGAAGGCAATGAGAACCGGAAAGGAGGAGTGGCCTTGACCCAAGCAATAGGGTAGCAGTTTCTAGAAGGGAACATCTACCTTCATAGCACAGAATCCCGATGTTGTTGTTCATCTTGTCCAAGTACTGGTAGTTCAACAGGTCCATCTTCATAAATAGCATTTATTGGGCTAGCACAGAAAACCAGCTCTTTGCTTTCGCCCCGAAAAAGTACGTTTCCAAAATCAACCAGTGCTGAGCAGCTCCTGGCTCTTCTCTTAAACTTCACAAAGACGGAGGCCCGGCCTCGGATCAAAACAAAGTAAAAGTGGAAAAAAAAAAAAAAAAGACGCACACAAAATCGAACTTGCAGAAAACCCTTCAAGGGTTCGTGGGCAGACGGTATACGTCCTGGATCCTCAATGGAACATTTAAAAATCGTTTCAGAAGTCTTTACGGGTCTTTCTTCGACGTAAGAAAGGAGCAAGGAAGGAAAACCCGAAGCCCATTTCCTAGGACAAAGCCGCGCTCGCGCCGCTCACAGCCCGCTGCGAGTTCACTGCGCTGACACGCCGACTATGCCTGGAATGACTCGTATGTGGACGAGCTTCCTCTTCCCAGCGGGAGGGAGCGCGGAGCATGCTCACTGAATCCCCGGGGCTCTTCACATGTCAGGGATGTTTTCTGCACAAGATCAGGCTCTAAATGTACTAAGTGTTTGAAAGAAAGAGAAGGAGGAGGTGGAGAGTCTGCAGGAGGGGCCGGGGCAGAGCTGCTCTTGACAGGAAGCAGCCCTGCCGCTGCAAAACCGGAGGAGGGAAGAGAAAACCCAGGAAGTCGCTTTTTCAGGAGCTGAGTACAAAGTCAAAAATCCATCATGGAAGCAAACTTCCATGGAATTTAACTCTGGTGTTGCTTCACTTTTGGGTTTCAGAAACCCAAAGTGCTTTGCTGTGGTACATATACCACATATTTCTTTTCTTTCCTTCCTTCTCTTTTAAAAGTCGTTTTACAAGGTCCATTTACACTTTAACTGTATATTTAAAATTTCAATGTCATGTTACATATAACTTCTCTCATAATTCTCATAACAACTCACATAAACACGTCAGGGATGGTATCACCTTTTTACAGCAGCGGAAACTGGGGCTCAGAGGGATTAAATAATGGTATATGGCTCCCAAAATAGTTGGTAGAACTACTTTCAGAGTGTGTTATTCCCTTAAAACCTTCTAAAAAATAAGGAGGGGAAGAGGGAGAGAGAAAGATAAGGAGAAACAGGAAGAGAGAAAGAGAAAGAGAGAGAGTTTAAGGAAGTAAGACTACATATCCCAAACACGAAGCCTACCTGACACGATGGGCGGGAGGGATAAAATTATTTTCATTTTGCACATAGGAAAGCTGTCCCCTCTGTGTTTTAGAGGCTAACAGAACAGCATGCCAGCACATCACGTCTTACTGTAAGGACCTGGGCCTTAAACTTCACATCTCCAACATCCAGCACAAGTGGTGCCCAAAAGCTATTTACTGAGTCTGTAAATCACTGAAAGTTCAGAATCTTCAGCCCGTGAAGAACACACTGGCAAAATAAAGGGGAAAAATAGTTTTCTCTTTGGAGGTGGCACCTAGCTCTTGGCACCATGAATAGACTAGTAATTCACCACAGGAGGTGTGTCTATGCTAATACTATTGTATGCTATTTGGTGTGCTACACTGTGGGCCAAGACCGGACATCGTAATACTCTGAAATAAGAACTGGATAAGTAATTTCAAGGGCTTCTATGTTAGAAGATCAGCAGTTGCACTTTGGGTAACAGGCATGTTCACAACAAGTTGTTCTCATAGAATCCTATTTGGAGATAAATACAACACCCAATACTGCTGCCGTCCCTGCTGCAATAGGAGTAACTGGCATAGCAGCAGGTGAAGGAGGCAACAGAAAAATCGAGATTTCACAAGCTTTAATTTACAAGGCTATTTATTAATGCTAGATTACATATTCTAGAATCTGAATAAGCTATACTGAAAGGTATGTACACCATCAATTGTAATTAAAATACTTGATGGTACTTGACGGGGAGGGTCAGAAGAAAACTCTTACAGCATCTAATATATATTATTGTACTTAATCTTAATATCTTTAGGTACAGATTCAAGTTCAACTGATAGTTTTGGTCCAAATTCAATTACCCAGCTGGTTGTGGAGAACAATTACTGTGCTACATTCTTTGACGTAAGTTCTCAATCAGAAAACGTTATGAGTCATTAGCACACCCCATACGGGAGAAAGCTGGCTGCACCTTGGAATCAGTGTGGAGTTTTTAAAAATCCTGAGGCTGTGGGTGCACCCCAAAATAATCTGAGGGGGTGGGGCCCAGTGTTGGGATCGATTTTAAAGAGTCCCAGGCGATTCTAACATGCGCCCAAGATTGAGAACCACCGCTTTTATCTCAGAGGGAAAAAAAATCACCTGCCTTCAGATACTTCATTTTACACAACTTATTTCAAGAAGGGATGTTTTCTTTTTAAAGTTCAGTGATTTAACCAGATCCAAACAATCCAGTGGTAACGATATGAGTAAAATATTTAGTAACTTCCCTTTAATGACTCAGTGTCACTTACAATGTAGTTTTCACTCTCCAAGAGGCAACCACCCATGTGGACACAGGCCCACAGGTACACCTTGACCTGTGTTTGCAATGAGCAGAGGGAAAATAAAATCCCCAGCCCCCACCGCGTGTTTCCCACTAATCTGGACGCTACTGTGGTCCTACTTAGAGCTACAGACGAGGAGAGTGAACAGGTAGAAACTTTGACAGCAATTTGACAGAGTCATCTTAGGTCCTGTAAATCTTCCAGGCAGACAGTCTGAGAAGCCCCGCTCTGAAGCGTGGCAGCCACACCTGCCGACTCCGCAGGGCAGCCAGTCCCTGCGGCTGGACCTATCCTATCACAGCGCCCCACATCGTCCACCTTCCGCTTCAAGCAGTGAACTACCTACAGTTACTCTCGAAAACCAAATTATTTCATGTCTCAGTGCACACGCTCCCTCTTCGTGCAAGACTTTTCCAGCCTCTCTCCCAGCAAACACCCATTCTTCCTTCAGGACTTGGCACACGTCTCCTTTGTCCTGTGGGACCCCCGTCCCTCTGAGTCCTCACTCCCAGGCCTGTATCATCATTTGCCCACCAACATGCTTCCATCCTATGCACGTCCAGGCTTTAGGAGCAAGGGCTATGCCTTCTGTACCTCTGCAGGGTTGGTCTGGCAGGAGCCTGACACACGGCAGGCCATCAATAAATTCCTGTTGAATCAAATCTCTAAGATGAAAACACCTCAAAGGCAGACTCTCCATCTCCCCCTCCCTACTCCCAGCACACACCAGATTGTCTAACTCAATGTTTCTCCAACTGGATTCTGTCAGAATCTTCTGGGGACACAAGTCCTCACATCTGAGGAAAACTCATGTAGATTCTGATCAGGCTTCAGGTTATGGTCAACATATCCAGCGAAAAACTCCAAGCGCTGGAAAATGTCAGTGCTTCTCAATTTCATTCACAGACTAACACTGTCATAATTAAACTACCAACAGAATTCTTCTTAAGGAAACTGGAAGGATGGTTCTAAATTTTAACCACCAAAAAAAAAAAAAAATCAGGTAGAAAGTTGGGTTTTTTTGGATGAAGAAATTTGATCTATCAGATATTTAAAACATAAAGCTACTGTATAGCACAGGAAACTATACTTGATATTTTGTAATAACCTGTATGGGAAAGAACCTGAAGAAGAATCATATATATACATATATATATGTACACATGTAACTGAATCACTTTGCTGTACACCTGAAACTAACACAACATTGTAAATCAACTCTACTTCAAAAAAATAAAACAAATAAATAAAGCAAAGAACATTTTTGGGGTGGAACTGGAAAGAGAATAAGAAAAATGAAACAGATATTGTCACATAGTAAAAACTTTAAAAACTGTAAGAAAATGTTCAGACTATCTAATTCGGAATAGGGAAACATTTTCTAAGCCTGAAAAAGAATTAAATCAAAGAAAGAAGTCACAAAGGAAACTACTGTAGAATTTGACTGAATACACAAATTTTATGTTTCGTACATCTGAAAAGACCAAAACCAAGTAGAGAGGCAAAACACAAAACAGAAGAATATATTTGTGACATATACCATGGTGGATGAAGGATGAATGTTCTTGGTATATAAACATTAAAGAAGAGAAAATAAGAAAAAAATTAATCTAAATTATTTTTAAATGAGCAAAGAACATGAGAAACAAATGGCCAAATACAGTTTTAAAAAGCCTATTCGAGGGACTTCCCTGGCGGTCCAATGGTTAAGACTCCACGCTTCCACTGCAGGGGGTACAAGTTCGAGCCCTGGTCGCAGGGAAGATCCCGCAAGCCACGCAGCATGGCCAAAAATATAAACAAATAAAAGATAAAATAAATACACTTTAAATTTTTTTCTTAAAAACAAGCCTATTCAACCTCAATAAAAATAGAAAAAATACAAATTAAAAACAATTAAGTGATTCTCTACCTGCCAAATTAACAAAAAGAGAAAGCATTTCAATCTTATTTAATGCTGGTGAGGTGAGCTGCCATTGGAATTTGTGTCACTGCTAGTAAAAGTGTAAGCAGTCCATGCCCTTCTACAAAGCAGTCAACATACACATCAAGCTGTCTGTAGTGCTGAAAATGTTCACATCCTTTCCTTGCTCTGGACTCTAGTTCTAGAACGCTGTTTTAAGAAAATAATAATATTTGGTCAAAGAATTACATAAAGATGCTTATCATGCTTCTATTTATAATAATGAAAATTTGAAAACCTAAAAGTCCAAAAATAAGGGAATGAATGAAAACTGTGGTATATCAATGACAGAATAGTATGCAACCATTATAATTCCTTCTAAAAAATATAATGACAGGGGCTTCCCTGGTGGTGCAGTGGTTGAGAGTCTGCCTGCCGATGCAGGGGACACGGGTTCGTGCCCCGGTCCGGGAAGATCCCACATGCCACGGAGCGGCTGGGCCCATGAGCCATGGCCGCTGAGCCTGTGCGTCCGGAGCCTGTGCTCCGCAACGGGAGAGGCCACAACAGTGAGAGGCCCGCGTACCACAAAAAAAAAAAAAAAAAATATATATATATATATATATATATATATATAAAAAATGACAGGAGAAAACGATATACTCAAAACATATGCTAATGAACTACATATGTTAAGTGAAAACAAGCAAATAAAAAATATAAAAATAGTATGTACACTAAGTACCAATTTTGCTTATGTATTTATAAGTATACACACATATGCAGAAAGAAATATACACACACATGTATTTAAAAGACCGTACTAGAGAAAACAATAATTCAGAAAGATACATGCACCCCAATGTTCAATGAAGCACTATTTACAATAGACAGGACATAGAAGCAACCTAAATGTCCATCAATAGAAGAATGGATAAAGAAGATGTGGTACATACACACAATGGAATATTACTCAGCCATAAAAAGGAACGAAACCGTGCAATTTGCAGAGACGTGGATGGACCTAGAGACTGTCATACAGAGTGAAGTAAGTCAGAGAGAGAAAAACAAATATCGTGTAATACCTCTTATATGTGGAATCTAGAAAAATGATACAGATGAACTTATCTGCAAAGCAGAAATAAGGACACAGACTTAGAGAATGGACATATGGATACCCGGGGAGAAGGGGAGGGTGGGATGAATTGGGAGATTGGGATCGACATATACACACCACCGTGTATAAAACAGATTACTAATGAGAACCTACTGTATAGCACAGGGAACTCTACTCAATGCTCTGTGGTGACCTAAATAGGAAGGAAATCCAAAAAACAGGGGATATATGTATAGCTGTAGTTGATTCACTTTGCTGTACAGCAGAAACTAGC